CAGCAAAATAGTTCTTTATTTAAGTTAATTAATTAATCTGTAATTAAACACCAATACCTTTCCAAAAACGTAACAACAGTCTTCCTTCCATGCTTTACTTCCTCGATACATAATTTAATATAATGTTCAACTTTAAACTTCAACTTATATAATTGTAAACTTTTGACCATTTAAATTAAAAGAATATATATAAGAAAATATTGCATTAAATATTGCAATCTACTTGAAAAAAGTTACTAAGTTGTGGCAAAAAAAGATGTGTTTTAGATTAGTGGAAGAAAGCGTCTTATAAAAGATTTTATTTCTGTCAATAACTAACCATATCATAGAAGTGGATAAAAATGAAGAAATGCCAAGGTCAGATCAAATATTTGTATTCTATATGATCCCATATTTGTATTTATATATTTATTCAAATTCAATCCAAATTTACTTTTAAATGACTAATTAAACAAGTAATGCAGTAAGAGATAGGAAATTGCTTTGCAAGCCCAAGGAATAGCTGAAGCTAGCTTCTTTTCTGTCACTGCATTTAAATGAGGCACATTGTGAAATTGTCTCTGCCAAATTGTTGTCATTCTTGGCCATGTAATTTGAGTTGTTTACCAGACATGCTGTGTCTATAAATTGGCCTGCTCCTCAAACCCAATTGCCAGTTCAATTAGCCCAGGCTGTCATCTTCACGAGTTGACAGCCAACATATTACTACTCGTGAGTGAATTATTTTTTAAATTGATTGCAGCAGCGCTATTTGCAGAGCTGCTTAGATGACAATTTTCAGATGGACAGCCAACTCATGCGATGAATTTAGCTTTTTTCTTCTTCCTGCCTGGCAAATGTTGTATATTTTTTAGTTCTGCTGCCCAACCCAGAGATTTTTGAGTGTGTCTAGCAATCAGCAATGGGATTTGCTTATGGCTTTTTCATGTTTATGCGCTTTTTATTTGTTTGTTTTTCTGCTTGTTTGTTATTCTATTTGATGGCACATAAGTAGTAATGGAATTTCGCTCGCTTTTCCTCCATCAAATTAAATTTGGATGCGCGTATTAAGTGTGCGTCATCACGACAATAATAACAACAAAAACAACAACAAGCACAAGGCATAGTGAAAATAACTTCACTTTTTGTGCTCCGGATCCGATGCATCCTTGTGCGTTTTGTTGGTGTTGTTGTTGTTGGTCCTAGAGCTGGTGATGCCGCTTGTTTGAAAACTAATTAAAAGTTTAAATGTTTGTAATTAGCGTCGAAATAAATGTCTGCCGCCACATTATAAAATTAGTGAATTTTATGCTTAACTTTTTGCCGTCTAGTCAAAATAAAAACTGGCATTGATGCTGGCGTTAATTTTTGTTTGGCGAGGCTATGGGATAATTCGAATGCGAGAACTACTTATACTATATTTTAAAATAATGTTGCTCGCTTATTATTATGGTTAATTGGAATTTCAGTTCTGCCGTTTATCTCCTGTTACAATACCAATCGAATAGAGCATAACAATCATAATTTTACAAGTTTCAGAAGTTCTTAATTGACTAAAATCTGGTGAAAAGAAAAATTGTTCTACTTAGAGTTGTTTTGCCACCGATTGGAACGATATATTCAAATACCTTGCTAAGCGTACGGATGTGGCAAATCTTCCTACCAAGTAATTTATTTAACATTACTCTGACAGTGCGATGATTTTTTACAAATCTTACAGAGATAATGAATAATGAAAAATGGTTGTATTGCCTGTATGTTTTAAAACAGTGCTGTTGTGAACAAATTAATATTTCTGGCATTGAAAAAAACGTTTGCCTGAACCAATATTTTATTTTCTCTGCTGCTGCTGCCATTAAATTGCGCGTACGTTTCTTTCATCAACCCTTTGAGAGAAATTTCCCATTTCTCTGCATAATCCATTCAATCAACAATGAAAACGCACACGCTTAATTAATTTAACCCGAAAAGTCAATCATGTGCAATGTTGACGCACGACAGCTTTGGTACGCGGTCAGAGACCGAGACGGTATCAGCTAGCTGCAAGGACAATGGCCTTCGACAAATGTAAAAAAAGGAAAAAAAAAAGCGGCAACGTTCAGCGAAAAATATGGCACATGGACAACAACGATAACAAGTTGTTTTTGACTTTGTTTGCAATGTTCACGGCCGTCCGTTTTATGTATTTGCCTTGACGGCGAAGTCGGCATTAAAATACAAAATAAAATTGACAAGGACAAAGCACACAATCAAAGTTGTTTCTCGTTCGACATGACACATAAAAATGAGACAGCAACAGCGGCAGAAAGAACGTCTACGCACTCTTTTACTATACTTTGCTGTTGTTTTTATTTTTTTTTATCTGCTCCTTTTTTGTTAATGTCATACAAAATGTTCAGTGAAACGTAAAAAATAAAATGCTTAGTATTGACATGCAGACAGAAATTGACTGAAATTGAAAAAGGACTTTGACGTGACACACAAGTATGCTATATATTTGGAAACGCACAAATTCATCTTGTTTAGGCCTTTCTCAGCGATTTTGTACCTATTCTTGGCATTTCAATGCTCTTGCGCAATCAGAGACAAATCATAACATCGGAATATTTGATTCTTCCAATACGTAAGTAATCCCTCTGTATGTATGTTACATACATGCACAGTAAACTAGTATACCCTTTCATCATTTAGGCAATAAAATATGTTTATATTTAATTATTAATGTTGAGTATTTTGGTGACCTTCCTCATAGTTATTTTTATTGTTTGGCCGGCTCGAGGTCAGAGTAAGAAAAACCAATTTATTTAATTTTCTTTTCTTTTTCCGATATATTTCGGTTACGCCACGGTAACCGTCTTCAGGGCAATTATTTAAGCAAGTCTGCTCTGTTTGACTTGGAGTTACAACAGTTAGTAACTCCAAGTCAAACAGAGCAGACTTGCTTAAATAATTGCCCTGAAGACGGTTACCGTGGCGTAACCGAAATATATCGGAAAAAGAAAAGAAAATTAAATAAATTTAATTATTAATATTAATTTTTATTCATTGAATTTCCTTACTTGGCAAAAACCAAACAGAAGCAATGATCTTTACTTAAAAAAAGCTTTTTTTCTTACGAATTTTTAAGAGAAATATTATGCTCTCTCTCTTGCCTTTATCATACAGTAAATTCTTTCAATTTTGTGCCTCTGTTATGTGAAGAGGTGAAATTTGTTCTGTTAATTGAGAGACTTATGCATAGATACATACATGAAATGTTATGTTAACATGTACATACATACATATGTTAATTACGCAGTAAAATAGTAATTTGAAAAGTACAAATAATTTATTATGGAGTAACCAAATATGAAACAGTGCGTACTTACATTTACATCCATTTTCAAATTGGGAAACTTTAATTAATTAAATCACAATTATTACCACTTAAAAAACAAAACAAAAATTGAGGTACTGCGTACCAGTTCATTTAACATTGCGAACACACATACATACATAGATAAATATGTAAACAGCACGTGCATTCGAGCGGCATTGCGATTTTCGCATTAATAAACACATATTTATGACACTTCGCACACAATTTAATATCAACATACTCGTATAGTATGTTTCCACATATTTTTAACTAATATTTAAACTATTAACTATACGTTTTCCAAGAGTTTTCGGCAACTCCAATTAGCGACGGCGCTACGCGTTCAACAAATCGAGTAAAACTAAGCTTTGCATTACAGCTGCCAGGAGAATGCTCTATTGGAGAATGCAAAAGTAGAGGCAAAGAATCAAAATCATAACTGTAAGTCAGCTCTCGCGCCTACCATATGTCCACAAGTGTGAGGAGTAGCACGTGTTTGATTCATGCGGTGAAGCAGTTTAGTGTAGATTTAGTTAGCTGATAAGAAATTGTGTAAATTTTCAATTTAAGTAAAGTTGCTTCATTGCTTTACATACTGTTAAAGTTAAGTTGTTAGCATAAATGGAATTGTCAATTGCATAATGTTAACGTTCGTAGCAGCGTAAGCTTTGCATTGCAGCTGCCAGCAGAATGCTCTCTTGGAGAATGCAAAAGTAAAGGCAAAGAATCAAAATCATAACTGTAAGTCAGCTCTCGCGCCTACCATATGTACATAAGTGTGAGGCGTAGCAAGTGTTTGTTTGTTTCATGCGTTGAATCAGTTTAGAGTAGATTTAGTTAGCTGATAAGAAATTGTGTTCATTTTAAATTTAAGTAAAGTTGCTTTATTGCTTTACATACTGTTAACGTTAAGTTGTTAGCATAAATGGAATTGTCAATTGCATAATGTTAACGTATGTAGCAGCTGTCTTTTTAACAGACTGCGTTCTCTTTGATATTGTCCTCTCACTGTTATTATATTACCACAATGCTGATTTCTAATAAAAGCCTCTCTTGAAATCGAAGCCTAGCTGTGCATTTTTGCTTTCTCGCGATTGCGGTAAACAGATTACTGCGCAAATGGCAAGCAGAAGCAGCAACTGCAATACACTGTAAACACTCCCACTAACATTCGCGCAAAACAAATATACCCTTTTACCATTTGAGTGCAGGGTATAAGAAAGAAATTTCACACTCACTTTAATTAAACAGCCACCGTTCCTTGTTTATTTATAGCGATAGAAATGCTTGTCCAATGTGGGTTCTATTTATTATTTATTTATTTATTTATTTTCTCTGTGCATATATCAATGACAGTGACTTATGCTTATCATGAAACAGCAAACTTTTTAATCAGCATTGTACACTTAAATCGAAGTCAAATCATTTTTATAAAAGCACATCTAAATCGAGTAATTAAAATAAGAGGAGGTGGGATTATTGGATCGCGTCCTGTGTTTCATTTGCTGCGGCTTAAAAATAACAATAAATTAACATTAAAAGTTGCTTATAGTTTTTCAAAATATGTAGGAATTAAAAAATCTTTATGGTTGCTATGGCGGGTAACCCAATAATTCCTGAAATAGTATGTTAATCCACATCGAAAAGAAACACAAAATAACAATTTGCTGATCAAATTTGTTGTATTACATGTAAAAATATATCGAAACTGTTTACGTGTCCATATTTCGTATTAGCTGACAATGTCCATCACATCACGAATCCATGTAAATATTTTGGTCACTCGAGTGAATACTTGTGGAACATTATTCAAACAAGAAGGTCCGCCATACGATGATATGCCAGCCAAGAAATTTCCTTTGTGTAGTGTTAGAGGACCGCCAGAATCGCCTCGGCAAGTGGACTGGTTGTGCGCAGTTGACACACAAAGTTGGCTGGGTTGAAAGTAATGAAACGCTTCGCATAACTCATCGTCGGCTATTGTCACGTTTATGTAATACAAGTGTTTGGAAACGATCGGAGTGTCGTTACGGGCGCCCCATCCAGGTGCATAAGCCCGCCAGCCGGTCAAATTTGCATGCTTAGCTTCATTGGCCAGCTCGATCTTGTTAACGTACTTCGAGAAAGATATGCGTGGAATGATAATCATAGCAGCATCATTGTGTTTGGATCCGCCATCATATTCAGGATGAAGTACGAATGACTTGTTGTAAACTCTATGTTGAAACCTTGCTGTCTTTTCACTGATTTCTCCGAAATATATATCACAGTAATTGATGTTACCGAAGCAATGCGCGGCTGTTAAGACCCAGATACTACTGATTATACTGCCACTGCATTGATTAATTTTGTTTGCAAAAGAATATAGTCGTATGCGTACGAGGTAAGGGAATTGTCCTTTAACTGCCAATGTGCCGTTTGTTATGCGTCCGTGTTCATTATAGAGAACTACTGCATTTGACATCTTAGGAGAGTCCTTAAATGCCAATGTGCTTGCAAATATGGCTAAAAGCAACACCATGATTCCTTTCATATTGATGGATTGGCTCTGGTTCCACCGCTTCGTATACTTATTCAAGTAAATGCTGCTCTTAATATATATAAGCTGTATTTTTCACATATGCCAATATTTGTTTGCATAATTTGGTGCATGCAAATTACAATTTTTTACCTTGAACAGTTACTCAACAGATACGAGGCAAAGAGACTAAAACTCAGAAAACACGTATCCATATTTCTATTGCAATTAAGAGTTGGAGTTGTATTTACAATTTATTAATAGCGAAATGTGGCAATCATACTTAAATGGAAAACAGATAAACAGAAACACTAGACAACTTCACGAAAGAGCAACTACGAAATTTAAGATCAAGTTTTCGATTGAAGTTTTTCTCTCCCATTAATTAAGAAAATTTGTGTGAACCCAAGAAAAGCAGTAACTTGGTTTCAGGGCGAAATAAAATCACTTTTTATAATCCGCTCACCGGATTTCGCCCAATTGGGTCAATTGCTCTAGAACATTACAAGAGAATATTAATTGTACTGCTAAATTTCTAAATTTAAGAAAACAAATTTTCTCTTGTTGTTTCTTGCGGTTTCTACGATTAAGTGAAGTATTTTATGTAGATAGTAAGATCGATTTTTAAAAATCGAGAACATTTGCTTCTCCAAAGTGTTAAAGATTATTATTATAATAAAACATGCTTTACTTCCAAATAAAATTTGTCATCAAATTTGTTGCATTACTTGTAAGAATATAACGAAACTCTTTATCGTTTTAGCTGGCAATGTCCATCACATTGCGAATCCATGCATCTATTTTTGTCACTCGGGTGAATACTTGTGGAGCATTATTCATACACGAAGGTCCGCTATATGATGTAATGCCAGCCAAGAAATTTCCTTTGTGTAGTGTTAGAGGACCGCCAGAATCGCCTCGGCAACTGGACTGGTTGTGCACAGTTGACACACAAAGTTGGCTGGGTTGAAAGTTATAAAACGCTTCGCATAACTCATCGTCGGCTATTGTCACATTGGTGTAATATAGGTCTCGGGATTGGGCAGGATCATCGCTAACTCTGCCCCACCCAGCTATAAAGGCCCGCCAGCCGGTCAAATTTGCATGCTTAGCTTCATTGGCCAGCTGGATCTTATTAACGTACTTCGAGAAAGTTATGCGTGGAATGATAATCATAGCAGCATCATTGTGGCTGGTTTTACCATCATATTCAGGATGAGGTATGAATGAATGATTGTAGATCCGATGGTGAAACCTTGCGTTTTTTGACCGGATCTCTCCGAAGTACATATCACCGTATAGTTTGCCAGGTAAACAATGTGCGGCTGTTAGGACCCAGATACTACTGAGTATACTACCGCCGCATTCTGAAACCCGCTCACCAAATAATCGGAAACGTACAAGATAAGGGAATTGTCCCCTAACTGCCAATGTGCCGTTTGTTATGCGTTCATTCCCATTGTAGAGATCTACTGCCTTGGACCCTTTAACAAATTCCTTAAATGCCAATGCGCTTGCAAATATGGCCAAGAGCAACAACTTGATTGCTTTCATATTGATAGATGGGCTCCAGATCCACTGCGTCGTATCTCTATGTGGCTCTTAATATATACAAGTCATATTTTTTGTATATGCCAGTATTTGTATGAATAATTTCATGCATGAAGAGGATTATGAAGAAGCATGCAAATTCCAATTTCTCACCTTGCACTCAGTTAAAAACAATTAAATGTTGGAAATGTATTTACAATTTATTAATAACAAAGCAGAACCGTGCCAATCATGCTATAATGCAAAAGTAAATTACTAAACAATTTCACGAAAGAACAACGACGATATTCATTTATTAAGAAAGTGCTTTTGAACTCAAGCAAAACAGTCAATAAAACTTGATTTGCACCTAGAAATTAATGAACTCCATTTTGTCAATTGCTCTATTTGAAAAAAAAATTATTTATGCTTGTTTTCGAAATTTAAGCAAACTTTTTTTGTAAGTTTAGAATAAGGCTTGTGGTTTCAAAAATTAAAAGAACTATTTTTAGTTTCTTCGAAATGCACAAAATTATTAATATGTAAAAAAAAAACAATGTCTAAATGGTTAATATAATATTACATAAAATTTAAAATGCTTGAAATTTTGAAATATAAGCTATGTATTATGGAGTAGTTGGTTGAAACTAAATGTAATATTGTATTAATCATTTCCAGAATAGCTTAAATTGAAAATACTTGAAATTAGTTATTTTTTATTTCCCTAGGACCTGCTATCGACCTAAACCTTCTCTTCCTGTGCAATATATGTAAAAAGTTATCATAAAAGTGTATGATACAATTTCTAGGCAATATCATTTATATATACTTGTATGTATATATATCGATATGAACAATTTATTGCCAACAAATGTATTTTCTAGTCGCTTATTTATTTCAATATTTATTTGAGACATTTATTTTCATTTAATTATTAGTTGTGTTTCGAAATTGAAGATTTCATTAAATGATGATGCGACTTGACAGCAAAACAATCGAATGGACAGAGGGACAGACAGACAGACACAGAAATTGAAAAACTAGCTCTTAACCTAAGAGGCAGACAGGCAGATGGACAGGCATTTAAATCATTAGACAGCTATATTAATAAACATAAAACGTGATAGACAATAGGACAGATAGACAGGCAGACAGACAGGCGGGCAGCTGGAAAATAACAGACAGTTCGAACAAACGTTACTTATGATCGACAAAGTATTTAATTATAAATATTGTTAAATCTTAAATAGAAAATATTTCCCCTACCTCGCTGCTACTCGTTTTAATGTTTCCAATATTTTGCAAATAGGCTGACCCTCGTCCAGGCATCGTAATTGGCAGCATTTTCGCCGACAGAGTGGGCCTTCAAATCGGCAATAATGATGGGCTTATTGATACTCGCAGGATGCAGCAGGCGGCATATTGTTCATTGTTCGACATGGCATGAATTCGGCCAGCCTCGGGCACTTAGCACATAATTATATTGAGTTGTGGTATTTGAATGTTGGGCAGTTCAGTCCCAGCCTTAATTAAGCAATGCATATGGCCGTGATGCTCTCTCTCTCTCTCTCTCTCTTGCTCTCTTTCTCTCTCGCTAGAGCGTGAAGTGCATTTATCTCACATTTCCAGCGTAGGACCTACAGGACGAACGTTGAATATTGAATATTTGTGCGAATGGGGCCGAAAATGGTTTTGGCTAATGAGTTTATGTTTGCGAACATTTACCATGCACTTGATTCCGTTTTCATCTTACTATCGCCTCTGCCTGGCTAAGTAAAATTTTACTAAATTTCCACTGAACAAAAAAATATAGCATTTGGTTTTCTTTTGCTTTCGCTTAGGCTGCATTGTTCCTGAAGGCAACAATATTTATTCTGTTTGAATCGATTCATTAGAGGTTCTCTAAAATAAAATAAATACTTTGCAAATATGTTTTGGAAATAAAAGTTTGCCGCTTTTATATGAAATGAATCGATTCATTAGGGGTTTTCTAAAATAAAATAAATATTATAAAATTTTTTTTGAAATAAATATTTGATTTTTATTTTTGAAATAAATATTTGTTTTTTATTTAAAATAAAATGTTTCTTAAGCTCTTAAGCTTGTCTCACTCCTGACCTAATTTTTTAAATTTGTAGCCACAGATAATTGGTTTCCAAAACAATATCCAAAATCGCTGAAATTTGCAAATTGCAAACAAGAATTATTATTTTAAAAAAAATGGAACAACCATATTAGAGGTTTTCTAAAATAAAATAAATATTTTCCAAATTTAGTTATGAAATAAAAGCTTGTTTCTTTTAAATGAAATGTATCCATTCATTAGAGGTTTTCTTAAATAACATAAATATTTTAAAAGATGATTTTTGTTAAATAAAAGTTTGTTTCTTTTAAATGAAATGTTCCATAAATATTCATATGGAACACAAACAAGAAATCTCTCTTAAATCTCCGTGCGCTTCATAGCTACTTATTATTGAAAAACTCGTCAACAACAACAACTCGTGGAACAACAACAAATTTGTGGTTATAAGAATTAGAAAGAGTTGAGGCAAATATAAGTATTTTTCTGTAATTTTCTGGCTTACCTTTTTTACATGATCTGCTCATTTGGCAGCACATCAAATGACTGGCCAGCCACTTATGTATGTATGTATGTTGGCTGCTCAGTCGGTTGTTTGTTTGCCTCTGCCTGCCGCGGTTGTCACGGTTTGGCGTATTGCCGTGGCCACACACACACACACACCCACACACACACACATGGACACACACTCCAGCTGATAAGCACAGGAAGGGCAAGAGAAAGAGAGAGAGAGTAGGGCCAAGGGAAAATCAACTAAATATAAATTTAGTTTAATTTCAAATGGCAACGCGCATTGCTTTTAAAAGCCCCTGCAGTTCAGCAGGTGTTGAGTGTAGAAATACGCCGACCACTGCACCAAACCACCCTGTAAGTGTTAAGGGGAGAATAATATAACATTTTTATAAAAATAACAATGATAAGATATTATTATTATAATTGTATTTTTAAGCATTTAGGAGAATCACTTTCACATAAAATCGAGCATCAATTAATAGTTAATAATGAACGCAGTAAAGAATTAAATTATATAATAAATACGTTCATGGAACATCCATGTAAGAAGCAATAGTCCCTTTCAAGAACCAATTGTCTTTATATTTAAAACAACAACTAATTATGCAGAGATATTATTTAACCAATAATATTTTACCGTACAAAGAGCACTGATTGATTGACAAATAATGCTATAGATTAATAAGTAAATTGTTGGTTATGGTAAACTTGTTTGGCAGGCACTGGATGGAATTTTAGATACATCGATAACAATCGAGAAGCTATTGAGTTAGCGTCATCCAAAGTGGAAACTTAACAAATCGACGAATAGAGCCAGACAGGCTATTGCATGATTTGTAGAATTACGCAATTTTTTCTAAGTTTTATGCAGAGCTTTGTGAGAAAACTAATTGTTTTATTGTACCTCTAGGTTCCGAGCCTCATCAAGTGGTAGCGGAAGTGAGAGGCTTAGCTCCGCTCTACTGAACTAGCACGCCAATGTGTGTCTGTGTGTCTGTGTGTGTGTGTGTGTGTGTGTATTTGTCCAAACGCCACATGAAGTTAATGAAACGTATTTTCCCCGAAATTCGTTGGCAACAATGGCAGCCAACCATTCAACTGGCTGCCTTTTACTGCCACTGCTGGCTCAGCGTAAAAATAAAAATCAACGCAAGCTGTGCTGCGGGCGAGTTAAAATGTCGCATCGTTGACCGGAAAAGCGCGGGAAATTAAGGATAATGTAATTTATTGATGCATTGTAAAAGTTAAGCTTCTGCTGGCGTCGCCAACGCGTTCTCGTATAAATTACACTTTGACAGCCAGGCTAGCTAGCAACACACACACACACACCGACTGACACAGAAAAGAGACCAGAGAAAGAGAGAGAGAGAGAGTGCGTTGCAGAGAAACATGAAAAACTATGAGATAAGCGTTAAGAACGGATGGAAGAGCAGCTCGAATGTCTACATTTGCAAAATACAGTTAACTCGTAATATTTTGTGTCCACAATTTTTCGCACAATTAGCAACTTTACAATGATTTGCATAATTTTTTACGCACCAACAAAGTTATTATAATGAACTTTTTTCCATGCATTCGCACGTTCAAAAATATTTGCAAAGGGCAGCAAGAGCTCGGCAACATAGCCAGCCTTTAATTTATTGACAGCTTAAGTTAAATAAAGGCTCAGACTTAACCAGTCACACGCACCTAGTGGCAAACATTTTGTTAATTTATATTTACGGGGACTACAATTTTGTTTGCATATTAATTTGGAAAAAGGTGCACTTCCAATAATCAGATATTGAAAGCTCGCGCGGAAATGAAAAATTGCACAAAATGTTATTCTAGAATACTTATATTTCTAACTTTAAGTTGTATATTTGAACATGCTTGGCACGCTCTCTCTTCCTCTCTCTCTCTCTCTCCGTCTTTCTCTCTCTCTTAATTAATGAACAAATAAAGGCAATGGAATTATTTTAAATAAAAACACTTAAATAAGTCGAATGTCAGAGTCGCGCGAGCTATGAACATATTATTATTACTACTATTTATTTCACAGCAATTCACAGCTTATTTATAAAGTAGAAAACCAAAAAACCGACATATTTGAAAATTTGCGATTCCAAATTAACACACAATTCAACCATTACTTTGTGCAAATAAAAAGAGTCTTCGAGATCTTCTCATTAAGCCGGAAATTATATTTAAATCTATGAAATCATAATAAAACTCACTTAATAAATCTACAATCTTAAGATGAAACGCAGATAATTGTGTTTTCAACTAAAGCGCGCACTTGAAACTAAAACGCAATTACAAAACAAGACGCAAGGCACTCAAATAGTTGTGTCTTTGATTTCATCGAAAGAGAAATGCGTGGCCTCGAAAAGCCTTTAGAGCAACGGTTTTTTTAATCGAGAGCATTACAACAACACCAACAACAATAATCACCCACCGCTGCTTTAGAGAAC